ATGTGTTATAGCTGCACAAATCAGGTCTGAGTCCACATTCTTTCAATTCTGTAAGCACGTTAGCTACTTCATCAATCCATCCTTGTTCTCCATAGATATTAATCATAGTGTTGTATGTGTAGTGGTCAGAGGCACAATTTGAGTCCTTCATCCTTTGCAGTACGGATCTAAATGTTTCCATTTGACCATTTTTCCCATAAGCATCAAGCATTGTATTGTATGCTTCAAGGGAAACTGAAAATCCATCAAATTCCATTTTCTGGACTGTCAATGACATGTTGTCGAAGTCTTTGTTTTTACCATATGCAGCTATGATTGTATTGTAAGTGATCACATCAACCAGGCCTTCTTTCTTAGCCATGAAGTACAGCCTTCGAACCTTCTTGAAAAGCTTGGCTTTCCCCAAGACATCAAGCATGACATTAAAGGTAATTGTGCTAGGCACAAATTCACGCTGTATCATCTCATCAAAAAGCCTAGAAAGCTCATCAACTGGAAGAGCCTGAGCACAGCAGTTTATGACACAATTATATAGTTCCTGGTCGAAATCCTCTCGATTTTTTGAGATTTTGTAGTATAAATCAGACAATTTATCCACCATGTTACATCTTTGATAAATACGCAGCATTTCACATAACAAAAACTTGTCTGGAACAATATCTGATCGCTCCTGAACAGCATCCAAAACTGCGCAAGCATCATTCAAAGATCCAGCTTTGACATACATCCTTACAACAATGCTGAAAGCAATCATATCCAATACAACTCCCGAAGACTTCAACTTCAGATACAACACTTCTGCGTCCTTGAAGAGGCCCATGACACTGTAAATGTCAATCATGGTGCACGCAATGTGCAAGTTTGGGTTGTCATCACATTTGGGCATTTGAGAGTATATCTTCACAGCATCCTCCAGCAAACCTGCCTCTTTGCCGGAGCAAATCAAAAGATGATAGAGGTTATCCTCATATCTAGGATCTCGCCACTTTTTGTCATTCAACACTTTCAAGGCATCATCCACCAACCGATGCTTCACATAAGCCATGACCAGAGTCGAACAAGAACTCTGGTTGACCAGCACATGCTGATAAAACACACCTTTGAGCAGATGTGGCACCTTATGAACCTTTCCTGCACTCTCATACACATGAAGCAGAGTACCAATTATAGAAGAATACTGGCATCCACACTCCACCATATCATCAAGGATCTCAACGACAGCTTCATCCTCTCCATATTTAGCTTCCAGCTTAATCAATGTAAACAAGTTGGAGGAACTGGGCTTGAACCCCAACTCTTTGAGCTCCTTATAATATCTCGTGGCATAGTCATAATTATCAGCTCTACCCCAACCTTCAATCATGGATCGGTAAGTAGTTTCATCCGGATCCAACTGTAAACTCTGTTGCATCCTCATAAACAAACTCTGTGCAGAATCCATTTCACCAGCCTTACCATAACCAGTGATCATAGTATTGTAAGCAATAATATTAGCAGAAAACCCTGCCTCTTGCATTGCCTCCAACACTTTCTCAGCATCCTCCAATTTTCCTTGCTGGCTATAAGCATTCAGCATCACCAACCAATTCTCCAAATTCGGCACCACCTCGTCCTTCCTCATCAACTCGATCACGCCTAGGGCCTTCTCGTACAACCTGAAACGCGTGTAAATTGTTATCATTGAAGAATACGCAGACTCACAAACAATTCCAAACCCTCTCATTTGGGAAAACGCAAATTCCGCCTCCTCCACGTTCCATCCCTTCCGATAAAGACCCATGAGCATCCCAATGGTGGCAACATTGGGCGCCACTCCACAATCCAACATCATTTGGAACCACTTCGTCCCCAATTTCACCAGGTTCCGTTTGCAGCATGCGTATATAAGGGTGTTGAAGACATTGAAGCTCAATTCGGAACCGAAACTTACCTTCATTTCAGAAATCAGCTTCTCCGCGCCTTCCCAATCTCCTCTTCTGCTCAACACGCGAAGAATAACACTGTAAGCGCCGGCGTTGCGTTCCAGCTTCCCGGTTTCCCTCATCTTCTCGAAAAACGACAGCGTTTTGGCGTCGTCCTCCGCGTTCTCTTCCAGCCGTTTCAGAATGGCGTTGCACTGCGCCGTGCTCAGTTCGGAAGAGAAGTCCACGTCAGCATCGGGTGAGAGGAGTTTCGGGTGGTCTCGGCTTTGCTTCGGCGCTCGCTTCGAAACCCGAAGCTGAGGCTTGTAATTGACCTTTGCCTCGGGGACCGACACGCGCTTCTCGGCTTTAAACGGCGAGAAACTAAGTTGGAACTGAAGGCCACCGGAGAAAGGAAGAATCTGACATGAAGGTAGCGGTTGTAACCGCTGCTGCTGGAAGCACTTCTTCATTTTGCTTTCATCTTGTCATGTAGAATGTTATGTAATCATGTGTTGTGTGGTCGTGTAACCAAAAAAATATCATCCAAATCTACTCTTCTTAAAAGCACTTTTTCATATCAATTTTGAGAACATGCTTTTCTTATTTACTCTATGGATAATATTCTAATTCTCTGCATAATAATTTAAATTAAAACTAATTATATTGAATTCGAGTGGGCCTTTTTCTCAGTGTATTAACTTTTATAATGTATTACTTTCACCTTTATTTTTAAATTGATTTTTTCATATTTTAAAACATCAACAATAAAAGTAGCATTGTATTCCAAATAAATTATTCATCATAAGTTTAAAAAATATATTTTTTTTACTTTATAACATGGAATGATCAATAAGCTAAATATATATAAAGGATAAAGATAATTTCACAACATTTTTTTTCAACATTCTAATATCGTCTAGGTGTCATTTCTTATTGATTCAAAATTACTCAACAATCAATAATAATAATCATAAAAACTAACATAAGCCAATCACAAAATGACACGTATATAATGTTAAAATGTTGTAAAAAATAATGTTATCAAAGTATCATTATCCATCTATAAATATGGATGATAACAGATTGAATTAAGTATTATCTGTGTGTTTATTAGTCATTCAACCACAACAAAATAATTCATAAAATAAATATTGATAAATATTAAAAAAATATATTTTATAAATTTTTAATATAAAATGTAACTAAAATTACTAAAAAATATAAAATATAATATAATATAAATTAAATATAAATTAAAATTAATTTAACAAAAATTTAATTTAATAAAATATAAATTACATTTTTAATTATATTTCTTACGTATCACATTCGATTTATTTATAAAGAGATATTAAAATATATGTTATTCACAGCTAACAAATATCCATGACTATAATTATTTATAGGACATTTTATTTATGAATGAGATATATATTTTTGTTATTCTTATCTATATATATTATATATATATATATAATAATTAAAAAAAAACGATCACATTTTCTTTATAAAAAAAAATATAAAACCGATACATATAAACTTTTGACATATTTAATATAATTTATTTTAAAAAATAATATTTATTTTTAAAATTAATTTAGAGTGTTTTTTTTTTAATTTAGATCCAATTTCACATGGATTAAAAATAGTAAAATGCTTATTAATTTTTTTTTGGATTAAAATTCTTATATGGTCCTTATATTTGGTATATGATCTCAATTCGATTATCTAGTTTTAAGTTCTCTAATATGGATCCCTCAAATCTTATTGAAAAAAGTGTAACAAAAACCCCTTTTCGTTAAGTGGACAAACAATGTTAATGGGTGCTGATGTGGTGCACAATAGAACAAGTTTAATTGGATGATGTGGAATCAAGTTTAATTATGACGTGTCATTGTTTACTGCCAAATTAGGGAATTTTGAAACTACATATTTAAATATTTTGATACTACAGATTTAGGGATTTTGATATTGTAGATTTAGGGATTTTAAAACTATAGATTTAGGGGTTTTGAAACTGCAGATTTAGGGATTTCGAAAGAGGGATTTTGAAACACTACCAAAGAGATTTAGGGATTTCAAGAAAGCGATTTGGAACAAAAGACGAACACAATGTGGTAGGGATATCAAAACCTGGAGATTTCGAAACAATTAGGGAATGAAGGGATATGAACACATAGAGAGTGCACGCCTATCCCTAAGGTTCTTTACAATTGTTCCATGCTCCAATTGCCTCCTCATTCACATCTCTATCTCCAATTTGTGACCCATCTTCTTCTCAATCCACAAGGAGCGAAAATCACATTGATGAAGCTTGAAGCTCGAAGGGAGAATGGAAGAACTATCCGAACCCCAAACAACCTCCAAGAGCCTCTCTCAGTCGCTATGTGAAAATAAGTGATAGGAGGAGAAGAATCCCAAACTCGGAGAGCAAGAACCATGCTTAAAATAACCATTTTGAAGTCAGTTGTCACACCGCCTCCATGCTAAGGGTCTGGCACTCAACGCTATGCTATTTGGATTCCATACTCAGCCTTAGGCAGTTTTGACAGGATTCTAAAATTCAAGTTCTTGTGTGATTCCAAAGGCGTCCAACTTGTGATATTTGCTTCAAATTGATCTTTTATTTTCCCAAAACATGCTCCCTTAAGTTCTTGCTTGTTTTTCTTCACTAGAATTGCTTCCTATTCATTTATTTCACACACCAAAACAAAAGATTAAGATAAAAATAAGCAATGTTAACTAAAACACAAAGAAAACGTGATCATACATTAAATCCAATTCCACATAATGAAATTGTCCACATCACCATGTATATTGCGCACTCACATCAACACCCATGACACCGTTTATGTTCACTTAACGAAAAATGACACTTATTTTTATATATTCAGATAGAGATCCATTGAGACAACTTAAAATGAAAGAGTCAAATTGAGATTCCTGTACAAAATGATAACAGAAAAGAGTTTTAACCAATTTGTTTAATCTTCTTAATTTCATGAAATAAAATATTTTGTATTTTCTAAATTATCATTGAATCACAAACAATATATACATTTAAATACAAATAACAATAAATATGTCTAGGCTAAGGCTAAAAATTCCTTTTCATTGAAATATTTTGATGCACACAGATCCTATTTTTATCTTTGGGAAGTTGATATGAATACAGAATAATATTTTATAAAGGCTTGACAACAACGAAAGGATCCATGACATGAGTTGGCTAGATTATAAGATAGTAGAGACAGACACATTTCAAGGATCTCCATCCCAAAGTCTTCCAAGCTCTTGTAAGGTCCATTTTCTGATACAAAGTTTATTCCAGAAAACATCTACGCTGTGGAATGTTCCTGAATTTCTGTGATTCCTCCTGCTTCATTCCAATCAAATATTCAATGTTTCTTTCATTTCTTCCTTGTTGAAGCTTCTCACAATCGGACTTACCCCTTCTTCGTATATCCATCTCAGTGCAATCTGTATCACCATGCATGTCATTGATTTCCTTCATTTCAACCATCAACTATTTTTGAATTGGAATAAAATTGGCCTCACAAAGATGAGAGATTTTTTATAACTTTTTCTGTGAAAGACATTTTTCTCATCCAGCCATACCAGAATTATTAAGAATAATCTAAACATGAGTTAAGTTACAGATGAACAAATTGGGAACATAGGGAAAGACCAAAACGCATTGGAGCTTGGAAAACCCAAGAAAACATACATAACAATAACATAAAACTCAAAACATTGAAGTTTTTTGAGTTAAAATAGTATCAATCCCTTATTCATCAGTGATATCTGGTTGTGACTATCCGCTTAGACTATTTATGACAACAACAAAACACAATGAATACCACCACAACAACGAATGATCTCTTGGTTATTTTGGCTAATCTAAATTTAGAACTTCATGGTCACAAATTAGAGCTGTAATGTGGTGACAGTTTAAGTCGAGATAGTAAGAGAACCTGAGCGAGGTCTTCTGTCTTGCAAAAGCGATTTCCTTAAGGATTGGGCTCTCATAAACTGCATTTGTACCATAAACACTATTGTAAGATCCGAGTGGTGACATAAGCAATCACATGAATTCCTTCTGTTTGCAAAATTCTGTGAGTATCTGTGCAATCCAGCTATAAGCTAAGCAAACAAAGAGGAAGAATGTAGGAGGGGGGGTGAGTGGGAGGGACGTTGGCGGGGGGGGGAGTTTTTTCCCTTTCAAAAAAAAAAAACCAAAGAAGGAAACAACCAACAATTTTCACTGTTTAAATGTCAACTGCATGTAGTGCTAAATTCTTCATACCTGATTGACAGCGGAGGAATGGTTGCATTTTCCAAGAGCTGGTTGAGCGTTTTTAGCCAAAGTTGCTGACACCAATGACTTTGCCTAAGCCTAATCTGCAACACTCTTCCATAGCTTCCCATATTCCTTTCATGTCAAAGGAGGGCATCACATTCTCCTTTAACATATCAGCTGGCCCTGTGGCTTCAGGTTTCAACCTCAGTGGCCAATGAATCAAATACAGATCTACATACTCCAACCCCAACTTCCTAAGCAGGGAAATTTACATAACATGCAACAGGAGAAACAAAACTTTATATGAGGATGATCATATAAGCTTTAACTAGTATATTGTAACAATTTAAACAATAGTTTTCAGATGCAAAAATAAAAAAGTGAAGTTTTTATAGATATTGGAGCCAAATGAGTAGTCAAAGCTCCTGTGTACTTACTGCAGTGAGGTCTTGAGAGCTGGAAGAACAAGGTCAGGGTGAGCATCAGATGGCAATAGTTTTGAAGTGATGAATACTTCATCTCTGCTCTTTACAAGGCCTAGCTCAAAAGCCTTATCCACAGCTTTTCCTAGAGGCTCCTCACTTCCATAAAAAGTAGCAGTGTCAAAGTGTCTGTAGCCGACCTCAAAGGCATCAATAAGTATGGAGATGAGAGTTTCATGTGGTGGAAGAGGAAAAGATCCGGTTCCAAGGCCTATGGCTGGCATCTTTTTCCCTGAGTTTAGTATCACTTCTGGGATTTTTTTTGCTTCCATATTTTCTGTTGGGTTTGATGTGTTTTGAAATGTTGTTATATAACATATAAAAGTGATAATTCTAAGTCTTTCGAAGAAAACTAGAATTATCAACTTGGGATGAACTGTTCCACATAAATACAAACACATGGAAATATCATGGCCACATATTAACTTATGTTTAATCTTTGTTTTTTTGTTTGGAGCAAACTTCATTTCTTATTTTTGATGTTTCTTGATCGTCAAAGTCCAAACTTTAATTTTGTTCTTGTTTTAATTTACGTTGCTTATCCTGCTATTAAATTTCAAACTGTTACGCATGAAGGAGTTTGTAATAAGTATTTCTCATGACAGTTGTATATAACCTTTACTAAATACGTGTTACAAAACTTTAACTAAACCTTAACATGTAACCAATTGATCGGAGAAATTGATTAATGTAATAAAATTACTATAAAAATATAAAATATAATATAAATTAAATTAAAATTATATTTTAATTAAATTTAACCTAATAAAATATAAATTAATTTTAATTTTAATTAAATTAAATTTAATAAAATATAAATTATATTTTTATTTTAATTTCTTGTGAATAACAAATAACTTCTACGTGATATTTACATCTGATTTATTTATAAATTGATATTAAAATATTTATTATCTACGAATAATAAATATACGCAAATGTTAATTATAGATTTTATTTACATATATAGATATTTTTGCTATTCTTTTACCTATCTAATATAAATTATTTAAAAAATATTTTATCTTTAAAATTAATTTATAGTTTTTTAATTAAGACTCATTTTCACATTCATTACATGAATCATAATTCAGTTATTTGGTTTTAAATTGTCCCAATCAATTGAGTTCTCAATTTAAAAAAACATGAGTTTAATTGGATGACGTGGAATTAAAATTTAATTTATGACGTGATATTGTTTATTGCATATTAGAGATTTTGATACTGCAGATTTAGAGATTTTGAAACTGCAAGATTTCGAGATTTTGAAATCTGGAAATTTCAAAACAATTAGCGAACATAGGGATTTGGAACACAATAGTTGAAGATTTCGAAACAGCCAAGGAACAAAAGGTTTTGGAACATAAGAACAACATTTTGGGTCCTATTTCCTTCCTTAGAAATATTGCCTTCGAGCTCTTCTGGCTCTCAAATTTAGGAGTGTTACTCCTTCCATCACCACATTTTTTTCCCATCACCTCCCTAATTCTATTACATATTTTTTGAATTACAAAACTAACCTTTTATAATTACACAAATAACCTTTTTATTTTTTAATCCTAATTATTTACTTTAACCCTAAAATCTATCTTTCTATCCCTTCTCACCCACCTCTCAACCTTCTCAGATTCTCACCCAAACTCCATCACATTTATTTCTCATCTTCCATTTTTTCTCACAAGGTTACTGATGATATTTTTAATTCTTTTTAAATGTAATGCATATATCTCTGTGCTATGTTCTGTGCTGTGCTCTGCGTTTTTTTGCTGTGTGCGTGTGTTGGGAGAAAGGAAGAAGATAACCAGGGCAAAAACGGATGTCGGGTATCCGTTTGGATGTGAAACGGATGTCGATATCCATCGACGGATGTTGACATCCGTTTTCCCTTAAACGGATGTTGACATCCGTTGACGGATGCTCACATCCGTTTAAAGATTAAACGATTTATATTTTAGGATTTTATTATGCACTTTCACGCCTCTGAACCAGCACCTTGAAGCACTACCAGACTCACGGCTGAAGCGAATTGCTTTCCCCACTTTCAATCTCACTAAACACAAAGTCCACCACACTCTCACGTCACAATTCTATAAAAGAGAAGAAGAAGTGGAACATGAGAGACAACCCAAGGGTAGTGGAACGTAAGAGACAACCTGTAAAAAATAATAAAGAGAAAGAAGGAAGAATGATAAAGATAATGAATGTCTACGTGAGATTTTAAATAATATTAACCCTAAAATTTTAATAAGGATAAATTAGGAATGAAAAAGTTAAAAAAAAGGGTAAAAGAAGAATGAGGTGGTGGAGGAAGCAAGTTGTGGTGATGGAGGCCCCAAATTTAGTTCAAGATACCATAGGCCCGTTTTATGTAATCAAGTAATGCCTTCCAATTCCGTTTATTTACCTTCTTTATCTACTTTGCAACGTGAGTAATTTTTCTTCCTCTGATCCGATTTTGCAGTTCTATAAAGTCATTTTAGTTTTTCATTTTTTTTCTTTTGGTTTGACTCGCAGATTTGAGAGAGATAAGGTCACTTATCGAAGGAAGTTCGTAGAATTGCTCATACCGTTCGCCTTACAATTGTGTTCAGGAGTAAATTAAACATAAGTTAAACCCCAATTCAGGTAATAAAATCGTCCACGTTATCATGTACATTGTACATCACATTAATACCCCATTGAGGCGGTTTATGTTCGCTTAACGAAAAAACTTATTTCTTATACATTTTCAAAATTATAGACCAATTGAAATAACTTAAAACAAAATGACCGGATAGAGATTCCTGTATAAATATGAACATTATGGGAGAATTTTAACCAATTTTTTTAATCTTCTTGATAAAATAAAAAATTATATTTTCTAAATTATCATGAATAAAAAACAATATATATATTTAAATACAAATAACAATAAATATATCTTTTGATTTTTTTTTGTGATCTAATTATTGATTGAGTCAATAAGGGATAATATTTTGTTAGAACAACATAAGTTTAGAATTCTAAGTATAAATTATGTGAAAGTTGAGTGATATATAAAAAAAGAATTACTCAAACTTTGAGTCTCAAATTTTATTTTATGTTGAAGGTGATATGATATCCTGTTTTTATGCACACATATCCTGTTTACTTTAGTCTTTGAGAAGTTGATATGAATACATAAAAAATTATTTATAAAGTCTCATGCATCTTCCCATTAAATGGGTTGAACAATGAAGAATCCATGACAACATTTCAAGGGTCTCCATCCCAAAGGTCTTCCAAGCTCTTGTAAGGTCCATTTTCTGATACAAAGTTTATTCCAGAAAACATCCTACGCTGTGGAATGTGCCTGAATTTCTGTGATTCCTCCTGCTGCAGTTCCCACTCAAATA